TGGGATATTATTACGTTATTGTTATAAGAGTGTGTTTGTGCACTATTGTGATTATATGCATACTGATGCGTAATTCATAATTGATATCGTTTATTTATTACAAATTAATAAATAATCTATAAAATAATTGTAATAGGATCCACTGAACGTTATCGTCCACGACCTGGAATTGTCTTGGATGATACTTTAGATTATACGGGAGCGCAAGGAATGCCAAGTCAGAGGCCTTACGCACCTTCGAGACATCCATCCCCCGGTGACGTCTTTGACGTAACAGTTTCGGCAATTCAGGGACCCGGAGGAAGTTCCGGTAATTTTTATGTCATTTTTTAATCCACGATCTACAATTCACGTCAGAATTCACGATAAAATATTATTTTATGTATCGTGTGCAATATGTGAGAACCATTTATAGAATTAAAAATACATTACAAGTATAAAATATAATACTAAAACATAAACATACATATCGAAATACATGGTATATAAAATTATAAATAGAATCCTATCGTAAAATCTGACGCGAATTATGGATCGCTTTATGGTATCTTTTTAGTTATACGTGCACATTAAATCATTAATTTAATCAATTTTTTATCAATTTTTTTCCTCAATGTGTGGAAATTTGTGAGTAACATTTTTTTTTAACATGTGGACAATTTAATTATAGATTTTCACAAATAATTTTCTTTAAATGACTAGATTTTGACGACTGATCATTTTTTGCTTTAATTTAGGGGAGAGCGTTAGAGTATCCCTAAACTCAGGTGGTGATGTCATATTAACTTCCGCAGTGGGCGGAGAAGGTTTCGTGAGTATTGACGGTAAAAGAACGTATCTGAATCTGTTTGATAACACGGAACGGACGCCCGGACCCACTCATGTACAACCACAACCAACTAGAACTCAACCGCCACCCATCGTCGGTAGTGGGTATGTCTCGATTTCGTGATCTTTTTTGAGAATATGTCATCATTCAGAAAAAAATATGACAAGCTTTTTCGACGATTCAAATCTTTTTCTGCCAAATATTAGACGATTTATGAGCAATTCCGTGGTGAAAAATTTTTCCATATTTTCTCAGAAATTTTCTAAGAATTTCTTATATTTTAGATTTATGAAAAAATATGTCAAATTTGTCAGATATTTTCAGAAATAATTAGATGAGGATTTTTAGCGGGAAAAATTTCACATTAATTTGTCTGAGTTTTTCTGAAAAATGTTCCAATTATAAAATTCGTATAAAAAAAATTTGAGACAATCTTAAAATTTTGATGAAATCTAATGTAAAAAATTCTGAGACATTTTTCCACCAGGGTTTCGTTTTCTGTCTTCGGAAAAAATTTCAGGCTGGCCTCCATAAGATGGACGATTTGATCAAAGATAAAAATGTTGCATGACAAATTTCTATTTCTCTTGCCCAGTCTCGCCATTCCACAACCGGATGCTCCTCCTGCCACTTCTCGTCCGAATGGATCAAATTGGAGGCAGCCACCGTTATATCGAAGACCGACGCAGCCACCTGTCAGAATAGACACTTGTATCGTGGGCGACACGAGCACATGCGATGCAAGTCAACATGAGGCTTGCGCGACGGTTCAAGGGGTATCGGCTTGTCACTGCAAGCCAGGATATGCGAGATTGCAGCATTCGCTGCCATGCAAAAGTTAGTATACGATTGATAATCGCGAGACATGTTGTTACGATCCATAGTTTGTATATTCCATATTTCTTTTTCAGAGATTGTCAGTATCGTAGTGTCAATTAGAGTTGACAAATTTTACGACAAGAAAGTCGTGTGGGATCGAGGACTGGCTGACAAGGACACGGAATCTTATCAAACTCTTGCTTACGAGGCCAATAGAGCCGTAAGTGCAAATTAAATTATTTAATTATTACTCGAAAACTTAATGAAATGTTTGAATAATAATTTCAACTTTTCTTTTAATAAATTATATATATTATAGCTAATAAAGTAATTAAATGGTTTATTAATATGTTTCTGACATACATTGTAAAAATTTTAATGCCGTATCTATATCTAATTAATAAAATAAAGAAATATGTATAAAATGCGCTAGAAACACCTCGACCAGTCACTTAATTACTTAATTAGTCAGAATACAATTTATTAATTGAGAAATTATCTAACCATCTATCTTTCTCCATTTATTAAATATAAATTGAATTATGTTATTTATTTATTACATGTATAATTTGTTCCGTATAGGTGGAGTCTGCCATGTCTATGACACCATTTTCAGACGAATATATGGGGTCCCTGATAAACAACATTTATCAAGGAGACGTAAGTCAAGGACAAGGCGGAGTTTTCGTGAACGCAACTCTAAAACTTACTTATGAGCCGAGAACGATTAGGCCAAGCTTAGCCGGTGAACTTCAAAGACATCTGCTAGGTGTTATTCATAGGAAAAATAACAACATCGGAAACAGTGCTCTGTACGTGGACAGCCCACCGGGATCTATATCAAACTTGCAAGGTAAATGCTCGATCGTTAATTGTAATTAGCAGCTATAACTGGTGCAATTCTAACAAACATCAAGTAACATATGCAACTTAATTACATGCAAGCAAGATTGGGAAAGTTACTTTTCTAAAATAACTAGTTACCGATTTTAAAAAAATAACTCGTTCCCATTATCGTTACTAAAAAAGTAACGAATTGTTACTATTTTCGTTACTTTATTTAATTTAAATATATTTTAATAAGAATTTGTAACGTAAAGCATTTCTGGATTTATAGATCTGGACGAATGCGCCTCGTCGGAGTTGAACGATTGCCATTCATCCGCCAGCTGTACCAACACCTTCGGCGGTTTCACGTGCTCCTGCCACCCGGGATTGAAGGACCCCCATAAAAACGATCCTAATGAATCCGGCAGAACGTGCTTGTCGTGTCTCTCGACCTATTGCAACAATCGTGGCACCTGCTCTTATCAGGGAGACCAGATGCAGTGCACGTAAGTATAAACACGAATCCTGTGAGTGTTCGTCAAGTGTATTGAAAAATTTCTTCTCCATCTCCAGATGCACCGGCAATTATTACGGCGCGCAATGCGAGGTCGACGGCGAGGTCTTGGGCGTCGCCATAGGCGCGTCTGTGGCCGCATTAATAATCATAGTTTTGACTCTAGTCTGTCTCGTTATGTGGAGGTAATCAACGTTGAAAAAAAATTCGTTTCTTGATACAATTGTTATTACTATACATTAATGTGCGTGAACCCAACTGTACGTATGTTTTGCAGTCGTAAATGGTCTCGTGAACAAAAGTCAGCGGGTTCTCCGGTGTACGGTTATATCCAAGGTGGAATACCCGGTACTCTTCCAGGTAAAAATCAATTAGCAGCTAAATATAAACTTGATCTTTCGCTAGAGGATATATACATTTAAAGATTACGCGAATAATTTATAGGGACCTTAGCGAGGGTCGGCTCTGTGGGCACTCTGGCGTCCGTGAAACAAGGACCGCCGACGAATTTGCCACCTTACATGTGGGCTCATTTTGGGGAGCACATGGCTACAGCGAATCTATATGCGGTATGCATCTACTTTACTAATTAATAGCTATAATAATAAATACCAGAGATGTAATGAGAATTTTGTTATTGAAGAAAATATCGCGTAATTAAAGTTGAATTCAAATAAATGAGAAAAAATAAGAGCACGCATAAAAATAAATTTTAATGTGTTTATAAATAAATGGACGATAGGCGATATAAGCTTTACCACGTAAAGAAATATATGATCGTTATATAAGTCTTATCATGTGCAAGATACTAATTCTTGAATTTGCAAACTGGATGATTTCTACGTAATAAACTATAATTAGTTTTGCTTGTCGGCAATAAGGAACTAATCGAAACTCATGAACATTTTCTTTACTCGAAGACCGAACCCATGGGTCCTACGCGACCAAGCTCGGCGATGTTCGGTTATCCACCTATAAACGTTCACGGAACATTGCCTCCGATCCCATTACCGCGACTTCAGGCCCCATCACGGCCGAGACAGAGACCCCAACCAGATCCGGATAGCTCGGATTCCGAGCCGCAAGATAAGGACAGAGCCGACCTAATTCCTCAGAGCAGTGGTTTTCATGTGCCGAGGCCAAAGTCGAGATCTTCATTAGCGGTGAGTACCCATTAACTTAACGAGTATACATATGTATTTTATTTCGCGGAAAATAAAAAATTAAAATATATTGTACGTGTATGTGAAAAGGATTATTTTCAAATTAAATATTTGATGCAGGGGATCAAGGATTAAAAAATGTATCTCCCTAAAGATTTAATAGTGCATTTTATTAAACTTAATAGTGTAATTGAATGGCAAATATGGAATAAAAGAAGAATTCACATTGATAATATAACAGTTTTGAATAAAAATTGTATATTAATAAAAGATCCTTATAATCCCTAGACGTTAATTGAAATATAATAAGAGATAGAGATAAAAAGAAATAGAAAAAAATTCAATAATTATAAAGCCAATTCCCAAGACCGAAAGAAATCCAATAATACCGCAGAACAATTTTTAATTAATTTATTTTAAATTGCCATATTTTTGCGCAGATACCTCGTTCTGATTCTTTTCCGATTTTTTCCTTTCCAATATAATATTTAAACTCTTCAATTTAATCTTAATCCGATTCATTTGTATTATCGTTTAATTACAACAACAGTAAAAACTAATTGATTGCTATAGTTATATATCGATAAATTGACTTATATTTCAGAATCAAAGCGGTATCTATAACGACGTGGAGTACGATCAGGGTGACGTTCATCATTTGTCAAAGAACAACATCCCGATGTCCACTTACAGGCCGTACTACAGAACGTGAAATTTACATCGCGAGAAGTAATACATTCGCGCACGTGTCAAGGGACGGTGCTAAATAACCCATCGCGAATTTATCGTCTAAAGTGCTCAATAAATAGTGCATTAGGACACGGTGCTGCTGCTGCTGCTGGTGCGACGTAATCCCACGATGGGAAGCTACGAATCCTTCCAGCGTTGTCGTGTGAGCAAACGTACCGTATGTGCGGAAGATTTGCACATGTGGACTGGAAGTGAGCCTATTCGTCTCCGCGGGTTAAGCGGATTAGATCTTGCTCGCTGTAAAGTCGTGTTCTTGTAGTCACGCGATATCGTACTTGCGATAGATCAAGTAATTTTTAGCGTAATACGCCGATATTTATTATTCGTTATTTGAGTTTGGATATATTTTGTAAAATCCAAAAATTTGCTTACGTTAGATAGTTTTATTAAGAGAGACGTGTATGCGACGATTGCATATATTTCACTATTTTAACTAACTCGTTATCACTGTTAGCTCAATACTCAGAATAAGAGTAATTTATAAGAGCAGATATATCGACTGTTTATGATTAGAGTTATAATTGTTAAGCAGAAAACTAACTGTTGCGTTATGAGTATTAAACAATTTAGTACAGAATTTAATTTTTATGTTAAATTACTTTAAGAATTTAAGACTATAACTGTATTAATATAATTACAATTAATTTATTAAAATCTTTTTGAAAGAGGTACGCTGAGATTTAAGGGCAGTAAATAATTATTTTCTTACGCATCATGAGATATTAGTATTTTAACTTATTAAGCACTCAATGTAATTATATATTGTAATTATATATTTTTTAGATTGAATACAAATGTCAATATAAAATTTAATTTAGTCTGTTTTTATTTTTCTAACTTGTTAATATCTGCATAAAGTAATAGACAGCAGAAAATTAATAGAACATGTACGAACTGCGAAATTAAAAAGCAATTATAAATAATTTAGCAAGAGCGATTAATTGAAATGTAATTAAAGTTTAATCAAAATATAATTAAAGAAAAAAATTATTATTTTGACATTAATTATTGAACAAAATTATGACGAAAAAAATATAGTTCAAATATAAAATACCAAAAATATAATTCAATATTTTCGCAGAATATATTACAGGTATACGCGATATCAAATTACGTGCAACGAGAGAAATAAAATGAATAATACGGGTTTAGCGAACAAAACGTTATTTATTTCCTAGCAATGTGTGAAAATTTAAATGGTTTTAATTTAGTTGTTTCAGCGAGGAAGTCGCGTCGCGCACGTCAAGTGCCATCGATCCGCGTGACACATACGCGGTCGAGACAACATTGCATTGGCGGGAATAAAATATTTAGTCGGGTAAACTACCGACGAATGAACACTAGATACGTGCGTATTGGTATAAGTAGGGGAGGTGAACGACCTCGATCGATTTCCACCGAGAAAGCTGTAGTTGACTGCTCAATGTTTCAAACGTTTTACTCGCTTTTAAGTCAGCGACAGTCGGAAATCGCGACAGTTTGTTCGGGACAAACTTTCGTTCATGTGTGTGTGTGTGCTCCTAATGTAAATACCGTATTATCTTCCATCACTTTAATTTCGAACCCGATGAGATCAATTTATACGCGCCATTTTTTCGCAGAATCTTAATTTTAATCTTAATGTGATATTTTCCGGTTAGTTTTATCGAAGTGGGGAAGGGAAATGGCTAATTAAATTGCTTTTTTTTCTAGCGGAACTGCGCACTCATTTGGTACTAATAAGCTGGATTTATGTCCAATTAAAATCTTTTAATCAAAAAGAATTAACGGAAGGAACAGAGTGAAGAAACGGCTTGCCGTATTCACGCCAGGGCTTCTATGTGCTTTTTTGGTATTTTTGTTCGCCGCACGCTTTTGAATGCTTAATGGCGCAATTCTTCCAGTCTCTAAAGTAGCCCCAGTAGGGAAATCTCTCATGAATCACCGTCTCGCGGTACAATGCATTTCACTTTCCCTACCTGCGTTTATTGCCCGATATTTTTGCGGACTTATAAAATTGTCTCGTATATTATCATAAAATTATCATAAAATTATGGAGCTTTCTAGGAATATATATATTATTATAATATATTACATTCTAAAAATTTATATTATTTTAAAAAGAAAAATGGATTATTTGTTATAATGTTACTGCAATTAACAAATCCTCGGAAAACATTTAAAAAATATGATTAACAGTTTTATTTTAATGGCAATTATAAAATAATAATTATCATATTTTATAACTTATTTATATTTGATAATGGTCATGGAATGTAGGGTTCGAACCCTGGCTGGGAAGATACTTTTCGCAATAAATTCTTTACAGTGATTTAATGAGCATGCTTATTAGCATCAAAATTTAAATCGATTATTGATTTAAGTACGTGGATTTACTGTTTCAACAAGGAACTGTGTTTTAAAGATCGATAAAAAATCGGCGCATAATTTATTGAATTTGGAAAAAGTATACAAAAATTCACAATATTATTATTAGGCCAATATATATCTCCAGCGTGGACCATAAATAGTATTTTTCTCTTTAACTGATAGTATCTCATAACGGTCCTGTTTCACTTATTATTATTATAAAATGATAAATTCACAAAGATAAAATATAAATTCTGTACTTTACATTCACACTGACAATGAGTAATCAAATTTAATCGTCTTGTCAAGATCGAATAAAAAAATAAAAAAACGTGCCAGTTTATTGCGATTGGAAAATATTTGTTACATTGAATCTCGAATTTTTTTTAAAACCGCAATACTTGTTCGTGTAAAAAAGACTGCGGTTTTAAAAAAAAATCGAGATTCAATGTAACAAGTGCATGTGTGTAGGTATGCGCTATGAGTAAAATGTATTTGTTTGTAAAATGTATTCGTTATATTTTATTGCGAGCATTTGGTTATTCTTTGTACATTTGCACAGTGATATATATGTATACAAAGACGAAAACGCATTTGTATGAGGAGAGAGAGGATTACTTTGAAATATTGCTTTCATTCCTGGCGCTTCACGCTCAACAGTCTCTTTACTTTTAATTTAGTTTCATTGAGCTCGAACAAAATAAAAAATGTTATAAAATAATTCTACTATTTTGCGATATTAATGCAAAACGTTTCATGTTTATCTCTTATCGTTTTTAAAAATGATATGATCGTTACCGATTACTACGTAATAATAACATTTTTGTGTGTGGTATTTATCTTTACGCACCATTTTCTTTACGTTCATGTATTATAGTTAATTAATTTAGCTCTACGATCAACAACGATGCCATAGTTTGAATATGACGTTCAAACATATGAATCGACATATTTTTTGAACCATATATATAGAGTATTGCTTGATATTTCAAGCAGGATGATACGCCCCCGGGATAAATTACAAGTTTTATAGTAATAAACATCGTGTCTGGACTGAAAGTATTGAATTTCTTTATATGTCGCGTCATTTATCGGACAGCAGACGTTAGCAACAGTTGGAATCATGCGATAATGACGTAAATTAATTGGCAGCAGAATATTTTAATGCTTAATTCATGGTTTTTCTTCGAGGGGGCGTATATTAATAATAATATTTATAGTGGGAACACATATTTTTAAAACTTTCATTGTCGATATATATAGAGGAAAGTGGGGTAATAGTGCGCACCTAAAGTAAATCTGTTTATACAAAATGGCTTTTATAGTTACAATTAATTTAAATGCAGCTATGGAACTTTTAAACGTTTGTCTACAAGTATGTGAATTCATACTTGATAATAATATTTTGGTGTTAAATATTTATTGAGCAATATTTAGGATGCAAAATCGGGCAAAAACGAAAGTGGCAGGTAATAGTGCGCAATTTGGAAATTGCAAAAAATTGTGTCTGCAGCGTTTAAATTTCGAACTTTTCTGCTTAAATCATTAGTTTGAAGTGTAGTTAATGTAAGTGATGATAAATAATTAAAAATTAAACGCAAAACTTAAAAAATAAAAAAATATTTTAAAAAAATTTTTGCGAGTAGAACTGAATCATGGGTTTAACGCACGATTAATTCGACATAAATATATATAAATTTAAATATAAATAAACTATATAAAAACTATATAAAAACTATCTCTATCTTTATATATATATAAATGAATGTATGTTTGTCCGCTATGCAAATCTACAGTTTTCAACCGAATCTTAAAGAATTATATATGAAACAGAGGTAGAATTTTTTGGGGAGTGCTATAGAGTGTATAGTTTTTTGTTACCGATCTTTTCGGGAACCGGTATCCAAAATTTTTCCAATTTTTCGGGAAATAATTGACCGAATCTTAAAGAATTGTATATAAAACAGGGGTAGAATTTGCCGGGGAGTGCGATAAAGTGTATTTGGTATACTATCTCACGATACTCTAACTTAGGCCGTAGGCGTATTTTGAGAACTGCATCATCATTACCAATTTTTTGAGAAACCGGTTCCAAAATTTTTTTTATTTGTTAATGGACCGAATCTTAAAGAATTATATATGAAACAGAGGTAGAATTTTCTGGGGATGGCAATTATTATTTTTTTGTATTATTTTTTGTTGTCGATTTTTTGGAAATTGGTTCCAAAATTGAATTACATATGAAACAGGATAAATATATGTTTAAAAAGATATCCCGTGTTTATGAAAATAATGGAGAGGCGACGTTACTCTGGCGCATGATTGTTGCCAATTTCATGGGAATGCTTTTTGGCGCGAAGTTATTCATGACCACGTGGCCAGCACATCATCACGTGACGTATTTCTTCTTGCACGCGCGCTCTCTAAAATAGACGATCATCGTTCTGCTTGAGCCTTTACGCTTGAGAATCTTCCTGTGTCTGATATCTTTCCTCTCTACGTAATGTTGATCGTTCTTCGGGTATCGAATTTCCGTGATTACGAATACGAAAAACAGTTTATTTCATTAATCTAGAAGGTCAGATAATATGCTTGAGCCTTCACGCTGAGAATCTTTCTGTTCCTGATATCTTTCCTTTCTACGCAAAGCTGATCGTTCTCCGGGTATCGAATTTCCGTGATTACCAATACAAAAAATAGTTTATTTCATCAATTTAGGAGGTCAGATAATAATAGATATAGCATTAAAAATATATATCTTGAATTAAAATATGTTTGACAGATTGAAAATTGTTTTCTAGCAAGTATTAACCCCTTCGTTGGCATTGACGCAAAAGTGCGTCAAATTTTTCCGTGCCCTGTGTGGCATTGACGCAAAAGTGCGTCAACCTTTTTTTTCCTATAACTTGCTCCGATTTGGCATCCAAGTCTTACACGGGGATTTTTGGGGTCGCTGATTACGAATCTGAATTCAAAATTTGCAAATTCAAAATGGCGGATTCAAAATGGCGGATGAAAATGCAAAAAATTACTTGATTGAGATGAAATTTGCCATTTTGAATTTTCGAATTTTAAGTTCAGATTCGTAATCAAGGGTCCTCAAAAACCCCAGGGTACAAATTTTCAGGATAAAAAATTTTCCTGCCATTTTGGGCACTTTTTGTCGAATTCTCTCTGCCAATGAAGGGGTTAAACATTGCAGATATTACAT